GCGATCTTTCTTTCTGTTGCCGTCACGTAAGGTTCTCCTGACATCTTCATTATATCGGGAGCATGATTAGCGATACGTGAGCGAAGATCCGCATCAACTCGAGACACTATAGCTTTGATGAAGCGCAGGGCATAAGCCATTGTGGTCTGACATGACTGCCAACTGCTATGCCTCTTCCAGTCCAGTAAGTCTGACACGGAAGCTATCGCAGAGGTGGATAGGTTCACGACGCAGTTCTCATTATTCGACTCCTCCTCTGTTTTGTCTGGCATTGGGAAGAATCTGACAACCGTTTCCCATTTGTCAGGTGGCAAACTCAAGAAGTCAGGTCCGTTCCACCAAAAGTGCTGCTTCAATTCGTCTTTATTGAGACCTCGAGTTGCGCAATCTGCGGGGTTGACAGAAGTGGGCACGTGTCCAAATCGCACAGGAACTGGAACTTGTTGAACAATTTGGTGAATCTCTTTAGAGCGATTGTTCACAAAAACTCCTGCTGCCGCATCGTCGTTAGCTCTTGCAATCCAATTGAGAGCTATTTCAGAGTCCGTAAGAACGTAGATAGTAAGTGATTCTCTGTATAGCTCGGATGGAACGTGCTAGCCGCGTAGCCATAGTTAGGGCGTGCAGTTCCATGTTTGGTATTCTCTTTGAGTCGGGGAAGTTTACCCTTCCCTGCGACGAGATTGCATGATCCTTCTTGTAGCAAATACGCGCATGTGGCCATTGCTTGAGCGCTGGCATCAGAGAATAGAACAAGCGTTGCTGATTCGTTGTTCCCAGCGATATTGCGCTTTATCCGTATGCGGAAGTCGTTTACAGTGTTCTGTATGAGTTGCCACTGCCTTTCATGTTCAGGGGTCAGGCATGTATCCCATTCATAGTCGGAAGCTCCAAAGCTGTTGAAAAAAGAGCTTGGCTTTCAGAGTTAAAGGAGTGAGCCATCCATGAGGGTCGTAAATGGATGCGACCTGTTCTGAAACTGTCCGTTTCGTTGCCTTTTCCTTTGTGGGATACTTGCATACGATGTCCAGTTCATCTTGTTCCGTATCCCACTGCACTCCTAACACCTTTTGGATGGGATTTTTGTTCAGATCTTTACAAGGAATGCTGGTGTTGAAGTCCTTGTCGTTCGAACGGAATTCGCGGAGGTTCATTTGAATCTCGCTGAAGGTGTTCTTCGCTTTCCTGTAAAGCGTGATGGCTTCGGTAGTACTTTCGGTCGTTAGAATCACGTTATCAACATAAGTGTTTTCCAGTAACATTTCTGCGAAGGCTTGATCGTCATGAGTCTTCAGGTGATGATGTATCGTTCCAGCCAAAAGAAACGGAGAGCAATTGAGACCGAACGTAACACGTGTGAATCTGTAAGTGACGAGATTTTCGTTGGTAATAGGTTTTGTGGGGTCACGAAGCCACAAGAAACGTGTGGCGTCTCGGTCTTTGATTTGCAGTCGTACTTGGAGGAATGCTTTCTCCACATCACTGATGATTGCAATGTGTCCTATACGGAAGCGAATGAGCATGTCAGACAACATTGGAAGAATTACTGGTCCACGATGTAAGACATCATTAAGCGACAAGGAATCCTTTTTTGCGAGCTGACGCGTCGAATACTACTCGGAGCTTCGTAGTCTCCTTGTGTGGAGTGAGTACAGCTTGATGAGCAAGGTAATGTGCTCGTACAGCGTCTTCAGATGTATCCTCTGTCACCTCTTCGATAATGCCGAGTTGGAGCTGAGTTACGAACGTGTTGTGGTATTCTCTGAGGAGTTCTGGATTCTGCCGCAGTTTCGCCACGATTGTCTCCAGCCGACGAAATGACATCGCTTTATTGTCTGGAAGTTTATCTGCGTCCTTTGTCCATGGCAATTGGACGTAGTAACCGTCCTTTTCTCGTTTAATTGTTTTTTCGAATTCATTCCAGACCTTTTTATCAGCATCTTGCCCTATAGGTCCCCAGAATTCGCTAGCTCCTGATGTCTCGAAGGAGAAAAGTCCTTGTGAGAAAGTTCTTGTTCCAAGGCTGTGATCATCTGATGATCCTGCGAACCGACTGGAACATACTCTTCTTTATCCCTTGCGGTGCTCACCTGTGGGAGCGTGGATTCGTCGGACACCGTGACAGCGTTGGTAGGACTTTCGTCGTTCAGAACTCCTGTTCTACCTATCACAAGATGTCCTAGTTTGGAGGGGATTACTCGCAATCCCGAAGGAAGTGTTTGCTGCTGTCCGATCTCATCCTCCAACAATGTGAAGAGCAACCGAGCAGTACATCTGTTCTTATGTTGGTTGTGTTCGGACGAAATAGTGCTGATTTTCAGAGCGCTATTTCGATCTCTGGTAGGTGGAGTCGGTCTGCCAGGTTATCAGTGATAAATGAGCGGTCCTAAAAGACTCCAGTGTTTGCGTTTCTGGAATAAGTACTTGCGCTTGTCTGACAAGGA